CCCTCTCTATCCAGGATCTCCTACATAGATCCCCCTCTGAGTGGTTGACAGTGGTAGCCAGGCACCATCTAGTTCTTCTGGTCTCACAGTCATATAGGCTGAGGGTAACATGGTCCACCAGTCATGACGACTAATTGTTTCCATGAATCTTTGGTTTTCTTCATTCTTCTTTGCTCCGGACAAGGAGAGACCCATCGTTGCATCTAGATGGCTGCTTGCAAGCTTTTAAGATCCTAGTAGCTACTCACCAAAGTAGGAGGTGGAACAATGTTCTGTGTAGTATGTTATGCCAATTGAGCTTGATGTCCCAAGAATGGTCAGGCTTTTTAAAGTAATAAAGAAAAATGTTACTGGACTATGTCCCTCACAATACGTTAAATAAATCCTGGCCAGTGGGAGAGTGAGAGATGGTGACAGAGAAGCAGTGGCTGAGAAGTGGGGGACAGAAGTACACCCAGCAGGCCCGAGGAGATGGCACGTTGGGCTTCCTGGCCCACGGAGTGAGAAAGCTGAGTGCCTTTGGGCAGGCAGCTTGCCGGTGGGCAGGTGCCCAGAGCTAAAAGAACTCTGTAACACTTGCCCGAGCAGTGCAGAGGCGGGGCCGGCCCCAGAAGCCCCTTGAGGCGCTGAGGGCCAGAGAGAGGTGTGTCTGCAGTGTGGCTAAGAGGCTGCCTTGATGGTAGACCTGTATCCTGACTTGTTCCTGACCCTGATTTATCACCTTTCCTTAATAAACCCCATCATCATGAGTGTGTTGAGTATGGTCTGTGAGTTTGGTGTGGCCACGGTAACAGATTATGGAACCCAGCAGAGAAGTAGTGCGTGTGTGCCGTGGGAGGGTCGGCTGTGTTGGGACTGATAAGAAGGCTGGGTGGTGGCTGCGTGTCTGATCCCCGCCTCACTGGAACCAGCCGTGGGCTGTTGATCTTGATCATACTCCCACCTTGTGAAGTCACAGGAGGTCAGACGCCTCCACCAGGCTGTTTTTACAGGATTGAACAAAACTGGCAATGTTCTCTGCCCTTGGAGCTTACAGTCAGCAGAGGGCGACAACAGTGGGGAGGGTCAGCCTGCTCCTGTGTTTGCTGACGACACTCTGGTAGTCCCTTGACCTCAGCATCTTGTGAGGAAAATAGAAAGGAAGCCATTGCGCATGTGTGCACGCGCGCGCACACACGCACACACACACACACACGGGTGCGCATGCACATGCATACCACCTCACTGGGTGAGCTCCCATCCATGTGTGGGCATACCACCCAGTTAAGGGGTAGCCAGGAAGGCTCCCTGATGGGGTATGGCTGACGGAGACCCCGAGAGCTCAGGAGTTGGGGAGTCAAGTGGGGTTGGGGAGGTTGGCAGAATATTCTTGGCAGAAGAAGCCACACTGGCTTGGGGTAGCCTGGGGCAGTGAGGTGGGGAGGAACTGAGAGAGGAAGTGGAGTTGTGCTCAGTGATCCTGGGGGGAAGGGCAGGCAGGGACACTGGGCGGGACTCTAGCAGGGAGCCCCGAGACAGTGACGGAGGGCCTTCCAGGGCAGCACTGTCCACCAGCTCCCAAGCCCAAAGTATAGCAAATGCCTCTTGGATGGCCCTTGACCTTGTCCTTGGCAAGAGTCAGCCCTGTGTTCCCAAGGACCGGTCCCAAGTTTCTCCAATCGATCTGACAGTTAAACTCAGGTCCTGACGAGTCAGGCACTGGTGGTCCAGGAGCAGAACGCTTGCCTTCCATGCGGGGGACCTGCACTCGATCCCTGGCCACAGCGTTTCATGGCTGGCCACGACCCGACGGGCTGGGGAGGCTGCCATGTGGCTACGGTGTTGAACACGTTTCACTGTGTTTCTTCCAGACCGGGCCTTCAGAGTGGCTCAGCCCAGTTCTGTCAGGACTGATGAAGCACCTCCGGAACAGACCTGAATTTTTAGAATGTGGGTGAACTGGAACATTAATTAGAACAGAAAAAAATGACAGGTCAAAGCCCTGCGAGAGCCGTAATCTCCCTCTCAGAAAACACGGGCAGTGTACTTGTCACACAGCAACCAAATCTCGGACCAGCAGAGTAGGAAACAGTGGTGGCTGGCTCAAAGATGGCAGCCAACGGCTTGGCTGTGAACGTGTGTCGCTCTCCACGGTGCTGGCAGTCACCTGCTCTCCCACACCAGGGCGAAAGGGCTCGTGCCTCCTCTCCTGAGTCTCCCGTTGCAGAGGTGAGAGCCATCATTTTGCCTGTTCTGGCTAGTGTTCCAGATCACTCAAGTTTTCAAAAATTCATGTCTGTTCTGGTTTTGCTTTGTTGGCCATGACTGAACCAGTTGAAAGGCCAGACTAAGACGGACTAGAAAGAAACGCCTGGTGAGCTACGTCTGAAAACCAGCTGGTGAAAACCCGATGGGTCAAATCAGTACAATCTGCAACTGACCATGGAGCCGGGGCAGGACTGGGCAGCGTTCTGTTCCACTTGGTATGAGGTCACGATGACTCGTTAGCAGACTTGACAGTGGCTCACATCTGATGGAGGTCCATCGAGAGTCAACAGGTCGAAGCTAAAACGTGACATTGCCTTGCTTAAGTCGCCCTTTTCCAAAAAGGTACACAAAGGCTTAGGCTCTGGCAGGACACACGTGTATATGCAGGAAACAAACCAACACTGCACAGCCCGGTCTGCCAGCAGCACGGGGTGGGTTCAGAAATACCACTACCTTCCAAACCAAACCAAACTCACTGCTGTTGAGTCGAGTCCCACTCATAGCGACCCCTCCTGGGGTTTCTGAAGCGGTATCTCTACGGAAGTAGACAGCCCTGTCTTCCTTGTGAGGAGTGGTGGTGGGGGGGTTTGAACCGCTAGCCTTCTGGTTAGCAGTCAGATGCCTTTGGCACTGTGCCACCAGAGCTCCCCCACCGGACCTTGTTGTTACCGTTACGAGCCATTGAGTCATCTCCGACTCACAGCAACCCCTCCTTGGATTTCCGAGGCAGTGTCACTATGGAAATAGATTGCCCAACCTTCCTTCTGAGCAGTGGTTGGTGGGTTTGAACCGCCAGCCTTCTGGTTAGCAGTCAAGTGCCTTAGGCACTATGGCACCAGGACCTTAGAGGGTATGAAAAGCCTGAGGGCAAGGGCCGCATGGGGGTGCTCCTTACTGTGGGATGCAGTGACCTGTGCCTGGGTGCCAGGCACAGGCAGTCTGGGCTGTCCATACCCTACACATTCCAGAGAGAGGACTGGCCCATGACCAGCGCCTGGGAGGGGACCTCGGAGCCCTTGGAATGTTCTGTCTGGCCAGAGTGTTCATGTTTACCCGAGGTCCTGGGCCCTGGGCCAGAGAATCCATGCCAACAATGTGATTTTTCAGGGGTACTT